AGTGCTCATACCCGTTTATATCTCCTTACCCTCTTTAAATAACCCTGTTTTTTAAGCAGTAGAGGAAGCACTTCATCAAGATGAGTACAGTTTTGATGAACTCTAATTAAAAGAATGTAAAGAAATGTTATAGAAGAAAAAATTCAGATTGTTATTGATAATGGATAGTTATGATGAGATGAAACTAGAGAATATTTAGAAAAATTTATATTTAAATAATAAGCTCAAATAGAATTGGTCAGACCCACTTGTTATTTTTACCACAAGAAGTGAAATTTTTACAAGTAGTAATTATCCCTTTTGGTTTGCACCTAACAATAGGGAAAATTTAAAGGAAATTCAGCTTTAAAAATTTAATTCTGATCAAATACTGGAATATTTAAAAAAATTCACAATTTATAGTATTAAAATGTTGATTTTTGAAATATATGAATGGCAAGCATTAATTTAAAATCGAGGAGGATTGGATATCAATAAGTTTGAAATTGGTTGGGAAAAATTGTAAGAATAATGTTTGAGTTGTTTAGGGATAAAATAATTTAATGATGAGGTTCTTATAAATTAAAAATAAATAGATAATATTGTATCTTTTTTGAAGAATAATCAATTTTTTAATTTGAAAAGTAGTGAAGCTTTAAGAAGTCTAAGCACAAAATTATAAAAATTATGGAGCATTTAAAAGTATGAAAAGATGATGAAGCAGATAAATTTGCATAAATTGATAGAAACTCCTTATATGATGGAAATAATAGTATAAGTGTTGCCTAAAATGGTGGTGAAAGCTTCTGAGATAATTAATTTGAAATTAAATTTTATGAAAAATTTCCCCAATATGCTTAAAGAGTCCTGCAAAAGTCACTATTTGATTAAAATGTATAGATAACAATAGAAAAATTATCTTAATTAGGCAAATAATGAAATAGAATAAGAATCCTTGTTAGAAGATTCCGATTATAATTAAGAAGTTACTTAAATAAGCTTAGAAAGTTTGGATAAGGTTGATTACGATTGAGTTGCCTTTGATGTTTGGAATAAAATGGAAGAAAATTTAAATACTATACAATTTTTCATCTCCTAACAATACAATGAGTTTCATGAAAAAAATCTTCAAGATTTTCGAAAACAACTTGAACCCAACAAATAAGGCAATTTTTTAAAGTATTATTCAGAAGGAAAAAATAATTGAAGTAGCATGCGATGCATTATAAGAACTAAATCTAACAAGTTATGACTTTTATGATGAATTCATCAATTAATATCATTACAATTAAATAGAAAAGTAGAGAAACTTGGGAAAATCAATCCAAATTGATAGGTTTTTATACGACATAAGAATGTATTCAATAAATCTTGCTAAAATAATGAGCACGAAATAAATGACATAAGTTTAATATTAATAATAAGGATTCTTATATCAAGATGAAAAAAAAGAGGAGATGTGGTTAAATGAATTTTTTAATGATGATGATCGTTAATTTGGTTCCTATAAAAAGGATTTAAGGAGTTGTTCATTAGTCTAATAAAAAGGTACAAACTTTTAATTTGTCCATAAGTCTCTCTAAGAGTTCTATGTAGCGGCTGATTTATATTCCTTATTAGTGTTATCTAAGGATCTTAATCTGCAGATACTCAATTGGACATTAGAATAGCTCTCTAAAGAGTAAAATTCTGATTAAAATTGTTTAGAATTTCTATCAAATCAAATGAATTCAGAGAATCGAATTCAAAATGATATTTCAGTTTAGTACAGGCTAACGAAAGTTGATGCTTTTAAAAAAAATATTGAATCAACTCTCAATCTTTTGAAAATTTTGGAAAAGCATGAATTTTCTCTAATAAATTATTCAACTGAAACATATATAGAGATGAGAAAGTACTTGATATAAAAAATAAAAAGAGAAAAATTGATAATAGAGTTTTTGAAGTTCCTTGTGTATTTAACAGCTTTTGGAAACAGTTTTATATAGGCGGGGTCCAATTCATTTAATTTATTAGTGGAGATGAAAGTTGATTTAACAAATCACAATTTTGAAAAAATAAGAATCAGAGACACCTCTTTAGTAGGAGGTAATTTTGCTAATTGTATATTAAGCTTATCTGAATTTAATAATGTGAACATAAATGGAATTAATTTAAACAGAGCATAATTGTTTGGATGCAAATGGAAAAATCTGAAGATTAATGATTTACATTCATTAAATGGTCATTCATCAAATGTTTAATCAGTCAATTTCTCTCCTGATGGTACTACATTAGCCTCTGGTAGTTCAGATAAGTCTATCCGTTTATGGGATGTTAAGACAGGATAATAAAAAGCCAGATTAGATGGTCATTTAGGAATAATTTATTCAGTCAATTTCTCTCCTGATGGTACTACATTAGCATCTGGTAGCGATGATAAGTCTATCCGTTTATGGGATGTTAAGACAGGATAATAAAAGGCCAAATTAGATGGTCATACAGATTATGTTAAGTCAG